CGTTCCTTTTTCTTTTCACCATTGGTAGATATAATTTTATTTATTCTGAATGTATATGAATATGGACCTCCCTTCGCAGATTTGGACCCCCCTACCAAACTTTCCTTTTAAGCATCGTTTGTAACATATTTGTTTGTGTTTCACAGGGAACACGCCATTTTGAAAAAAACTAAACCACGTTTATTTGACTGACAGTTTATACAAACCGGAAACTATGGCGAACACCGGAAGTTCGCGTATCGTGAAACATGGTCCTTCGAGCCGGATCTTTGTAGTCCGCTAGAATTTTCTCTCTAAGCGATGAACCCGTTTGATACCATCAAGATAAGTAGTGAGAGACTGCCCCAACTTCAAAAGGCCACTGAACAAGACCCGGTCATGCAAACTCTCAAAACTACCATTCTGATTGGTTGGCCAGAGAGGAGAGAAGAAGTACCAGTCCAAAATTCTCTAATCTGGACTGGTACTTCTTCTCTCCTCTCTGGCCAACCAATCAGAATGGTAGTTTTGAGAGTTTGCATGACCGGGTCTTGTTCAGTGGCCTTTTGATGGGGCAGTCTCTCACTACTTATCTTGATCTCCTCTCTGCCCCAACTTCAAAAGGCCACTGAACAAGACCCGGTCATGCAAACTCTCAAAACTACCATTCTGATTGGTTGGCCAGAGAGGAGAGAAGAAGTACCAGTCCAGATTAGAGAATTTTGGACTGGTACTTCTTCTCTCCTCTCTGGCCAACCAATCAGAATGGTAGTTTTGAGAGTTTGCATGACCGGGTCTTGTTCAGTGTCCATAACTGGTTTAGACGCTCAGACATAGTCCTTGAATCTCACAGGTGTCTTCACAATTCTGGTACGGGTTGATTTCAGTGGCACACTATGATTCTGCTGCGGGGTATCGCTGACTTTAACTGGTGTAGTCACATCACTGTGATTGGTACTCCTTAATGCTGTTTGTCCTTCTGTCTCTGCAGGTACAGATGAGGGTGGTTTTGTTTCAGCAATAATAGTCTCACCAGTCATTTGGGTGTCTTTCTTGGGCCTCAATGCCTGTCTGTTTCGACGTAGTGTGTTTCCATTGACTTCAACAAGGTATGAGCGATCTGATAGCTTCTGGACACAGGTGCCGGCTTCCCAGACTTTGTTTCGCTGACCAGCTACTCTAACTTCTTGGCCTATTTCAAGCTCTGGTAGCACCTTGGCACTTCTATCGTAATAGCCTTTAGCTGTCTGCCTCTTGGCCTTCAACTTCTCTTTGACTCCTTCTTCTACTCTGGGGTACAGAAGATTTGCTGATACCGGTAGCAATGTACGTGTTCTTCGGGACATCAATCTCTGTACAGGGCTAGAGTTCACACCTTGTGTTGGTGTGTTCCGTTGATCCAATAACGCAAGCCATGGGTCTTTGTTGTCCCTGTGAGCTTTCTTGAAAATCTTCTTGGCCACTTTGACTGCGGATTCGGCCTTGCCATTGGATCTGGCATGTTTAGGTGATGACGTCACGTGTTTAAACTCCCATTCTCTGGAAAACTCTGTGAACTCTCGGCAGCAGTACTGCGGTCCATTGTCGGTAACAAATACATCAGGTATGCCATGGCGACTGAATTGACCTTTGAGGAACTCTATGATGTAGCTCGCAGTTGTGCCTTTTAACTCGCCAACTTCTATGAAATCTGAGTAGCTGTCTGCAAGCACAATGTACTCCTTGCCGTTCAGAGTGAACAGGTCTGACGAAACTCTACTCCATGGACGATCAGGTATTTCATGTGTCTGCATTGGCTGCTTGACGTTCTTCGCTTGGAATGCTGCGCATATCTCACATTTATCAACAGCTTCTTTGATGTCTTTGGTCATGGAGGGCCAGAAAACTACATCTTTTGCTCTTCGTAGACAGGCTTCAATTCCTTGGTGACTGGAATGAGCTCTTGCGGTCAGTTCTGGCCTTAAAGCTTTTGGAATGATGACTCGCTGATTCTTGAAAATGATGCCGTTGTGAAGTGTCAGTTCTTCTCTGTAATTCCAAAATTCTCTAATCTGGACTGGTACTTCTTCTCTCCTCTCTGGCCAACCAATCAGAATGGTAGTTTTGAGAGTTTGCATGACCGGGTCTTGTTCAGTGGCCTTTTGAAGTTGGGGCAGTCTCTCACTACTTATCTTGATGGTATCAAACGGGTTCATCGCTTCCAGCTCCAGAGCGAAAACTTGAAACTCTTCATCCTCTGGGCCTGTATCTTTCAGGAAAGCTCTGGACAGGTGATCGGCCACAAACATCTGCGTTCCTGGTTTATAGACCACTTCGAGGTTGTATCTCTGTAGCCGAAGCATCATTCTTTGGAGACGGCTTGGCGCACATAGAAGCGATTTCTTGAATATTGACTGCAACGGCTTATGATCTGATTCGACGGTGACTTTGTCTCGTCTTGTGATGTACTGTGAGAACTTTTGGCAACCGAACACAATGGCCAGACATTCTTTCTCTATTTGTGCGTACCGTTGTTCAACTGCAGACAGTGTTCGCGATGCGAAGGCAACTGGTTGTCCGTTCTGGAGGAGTGTCGCACCAAGGCCTCGCTCGCTGGCATCGCACTGAATAGTAACCTCGTCATTGATGTCGTAATACTTGAGTACTGGATGGTTTGCTACCAACTTCTTCACTTCATCGAACGCCTTGTCGTGTTGCTCAGACCACATAAACTGGGCGTTGGTCAGGGTCAAATTTCTCAACGGCTGTGCTACTTCAGATAGTCTTGGTAAGAATTTGGCCAGATAGTTGATGAAACCCAGTAGACTAAGAGTCTCTTTCTTACATGTTGGCTTGGGCATGTTTTCCACTGCGTTGACTTTGTCTGGATCTGGTTTGAGACCATCTTTGCTAATAACATGGCCCATGAACTTAACTTGGGGTTTCCTCAAGTTCATCTTCTTGCTGTTCAGCTTGAGTCTGACTTCTCTGGCTCTGTCTAGGAGTTTTCTGAGGTTTTCATCGTGGTTGGCATCAGCTTCTTCCTGGGTATCTCCATATCCGACTACTAGTAGATCATCTCGAAGAATTTCGACGCCTTCTAATCCGGTAAGCTTTTCGTGTAGCTTGCACTCAAACTCCTCGGGAGCCACGCTAATACCAAATGGCATTCTTAGATATCTGTATCTGCCAAAGGGAGTCCAGAAAGTTGTTTTCTTACTGCTCTCTTCATCTAATCCGATCTGATAGAACCCATCTTTCGCATCTAGTGTGGTAAATATTTTCGCTTTGCTGAGTTTTGGGAGTATCTCTTCTAATGTTGGCATCTGGTACTTAGGTCTCTGGATTGCCTTGTTCAAATCTCGAGGGTCGAGACAAATTCTTATCTTTCCTGGCTTGGACACTATGACCATACTGCTGATCCAATCTGTGGGGTCGGTAACCTTTTGAATAATGCCTTTCTTCTCCAACTCTGCGATCTTCTCCTTGACTTCTTTTTGTAGAGTTACAGGTATCCGCCTGGGCGCGTGCTGCACTGGGGGATGGTTTGGGTCGATAACAAAGGTACTGGACTCTCCTAAGTGACCAAGTCCTTCGAACACATCTTTGTAGTCCGCTAGAATTTTCTCTCTGGTTAGTGGGACACTAGACTTTACTGGCTCTGTACCCATACTGTTTACTTGCGCTGTACCTGTTAAGGAAAGCTTCAACAGTCCCAGCTTCACACATGTTTCCGCGGATAGAAGAGGCTTGTTTACAGTATCAACAATCTGAAAGTCCAACTCTTGGGTCTTATTGTCTCGATGTATCTTTAAGGTGGCTACACCAGAAGGCTTCATGAGAGAACCGTCAAACAACTTGAGCTTCACTTTACTACTTCTCAGTGGTGGATCTCCTGTTTGGCTTATGATGGCCAGGTCGCGCAGGCTCATCACGTTGCACGTGGCGCCGGTGTCTAGCTGGCATTCCAATTCGGTGTTGTATAACTCTTCTGTGTCTGAAAAGATTATCTTGGCGTTGAGTTGCTTGCCTGCCGTCTTCACGCTGGAGACTTCTTCAATTTTAAAGAGTGGATCTTCATCATCGGTCAAATCATCATCGGAGTCATTGGACGTATCCGTTTCTTCGGTGACTTGCTTCACGCTTTTGTGTCCTCTGGATACTGTCTTTCCGCCTGCTGGTTTGTTTCTAAAGCGACAAACAGATGCGAAATGATTCGGCTTCGAGCACAGGTGACAGGTTTGACCATATGCTTTGCATTCTTCTTTCCTATGTTGCTTTGTTGCCCCGCATCTGTTGCAATTCTTCTTCGCGCCCTTTGTAGCCTTTCCATTCTTTCCATATTTTGCGTCTTTCTTTTGTTTATGCCGCTTGTCGAGTCGTTTCGCTTGACTGTCCACGGTGTTGACTTGCTCATCTGTTTGGATTTCCTCCAGTTTCATAAACTTGAGCTGTTTGGAAGCCGCTTCATTAGACCTGCAAATACTGAGTGCTTTGTTCAGGTCCAGTTCATCTTCTTTGAGTAGCCGTAGTTTTGAAGCTTTATCTCGGACGCCTATTACGATTCTGTCTCGTATCATCTCATCTGTGAGTGCGCCATATTTACACGACGAAACCATCTTTCTCAATCGATTTACAAATTCGTCTATTCCCTCTTCGGAACTTTGTGTAGCTGAATTAAACATAAATCTCTCGTAGACCACATTTGTTTTTGGCTTGAAATATGCTTCCAAAGCTTTTAAACTGGAGGTCACGCTTGCCCTTTCTTCCGGAGTCAACTCTAGGTTTAAAAATATCTCAAGACAGTCTTTCCCCATGACTGAGCGAAGGGTTGCTAAACGAACTGGTTCTGGACGATGTTCGAGACCGGTGCCAAGCTCGTAGTCTTGCCATTGCTGTCGAAAGAACTCCCAATTTGTGACTCTGTCGCCGGATATTTTCATTGGGCTTGGAACTGGAAAGTTCGAAGTAAAATTCAAAACTGGAGCGCTCGGAGCGCTCGGCGCTTGTTGTCCTGACGAACTTTCGTCGGGTGGAGGCATGTCTTCTTCGTATTTCGTCTTGTTTTTTTTTTTTTTTTTTTTGTAACTCTGTTGCCAAAGTGCTTCCGTCTTCTTAGACCTACGTTTTAACGGCTATTTGTGATGAGTTACGACGACTTTTACAGTTGCGAAGACCGTTTTTTCCTTGCGCTTTTTACTCTGACACCATGTTTGTGTTTCACAGGGAACACGCCATTTTGAAAAAAACTAAACCACGTTTATTTGACTGACAGTTTATACAAACCGGAAACTATGGCGAACACCGGAAGTTCGCGTATCGTGAAACAATATTTGGTAACTAATTCTATTTGCAAACTTTTTGTCGATGTTCTTTTCAATCGCAATACAGCATTCCTCAATAAAGGTAAAGAAAAACAGCCATTTCGTTCCAATCCTGCCGCATTTATTATAGCGAGTCATACAGTATGCGCAAGAATTAAATGCGAACAAACTACTGCATTCGAACGATTGAAATTGTAACAATAAATCTTTGCTCCCTCTGATGCGAATCAACATTGATACGAAACGTCATAACAATAGTGGAGACTATTGCGTGCAGTCTCAAAATCAACTCAGTCTGATTGTCTAATTAAATAACATTAAACAGTTTCTGAACCAGAACGAATTCGAAGTAACTACTCCTACTACAAGTCGTTCGTAAAGCCTATGATAAGAAAAACTATTGGAACTCTCAGTTTATTTTCAGATGCAAATCAACATTAATGTTTACGTCTTAACAAAAGTGGAGACGATTACATCGAACTCAGTCTTATTTTTCAATTTTAACGATTATTACCCGTTGAGGGATCTGAAATAACAAACTCGCACTTTACAATGTCGTCTCAACACTTGGGCATTGAACAATAACAAAATAAATTAGTGTCATAAGTTTGTCTCTTACTGAATCTAGCGGTGTTCGACTATCGCGGAAAAGGTTTAAAAACGACCTTTCTCCGAACATTGAACTAAATGCTAGCGCATTTTCCCTTGGTCAAAAGAAACATCGGACAGATCATTTTTTTCAGCTGCCAGTTCGTATGCATTGGCATTGGCATATTTTGAAATAAAAACGTACTTTAGTACGAACAGAAACGTAAAGTATTATCTATTTCTACGAGAACGTTAAGGATGATGTTTTCACTCAATTCTGTTGGGGGGTCCAAAGCCGCGGATTTGAGCCGGGAGTCCAAATCTAGACGGGTCCAAATCCGCTAGAACACCGGAAAACAAAAGGCAGTCGATCGTTAAAAGGTGTTGATAGGCTTGCGCGACTCCTGCCATTTCCTTGCGCTTTTAAATCTTCTGACCCGAAAACTTGCTGTTATTAAGATATCTTCTAATGATTTTCCTTTGCGATGTGATAATAACGGTTAGTTTCCTGTCTGTATGTTAGTTTTCCTGTCTGTATGTTCTTGAGGTTTGGCAAAGCCGGATGAGATTGTGTTAAAAAAGGTAATATTTTCATGTGTGCGCGTTGTTTTCTCTGTTTTCAAGTACAGACTGTTTCTCCCGCAGAAGATAACCCCAGAGATACGGTTTTCAAAACCTTATTCTGAGTATTCCCTATTCTTTTAAGCATATTTGAAAATCTGTACGTTCTTTTATTAAACGTTAAGCGTGACGAATTCGGGCTTCTCCTTTCGCGAATCCCATATTTACGCCTTTAAATGCATAACATAAAAAAATAGTTCGTGTATTAGAAGGTCACTGTCTCTCTGTAATACGTTTGCATGTCAAGGGTCGATTCCCTGTTAAATAACTCGCAAATTAGATTTTATTCACAGAGCCATTGGCTGTGAGTGTGACTGTTGCCAAATGAATAGATTCTTGGGCAAGGCTGCAGTTTCAATTCTTTCTGAATCTCTTCAGTTGCCTCCTAACAACGAATTTGTCACGGAGGAATAACAGGAGTCTGCAAACACTTTTTAACTTTCGAAGGAACGGCAATAGACAGTGAATCCTCATTACATTCCACGTTTATTCACGCTATCTTGCTGCTACCAGAGATGTTCACTCGACCGCAACAGGATGCAAATGACTCACTTTTCGTTTGACAACCAAGATGCAACGCAAATCAGTGTGCGCACACCGCCTGCGCCGACCCGGCAAGTAGTATCAGGAAAGGCAAATGAGAGGTTTGTAAACATGCCAAGCGCCAAAAAGTAGAGAAAGCACTCGATTACGTCTCGTGTTTCCCCCTATATTTCTTTTGTGCTCCAGCTGCTTGCTGCTGCTTTAAAACAAAACAAAGCTTCTTTATTTGTTAACGTCACTCATTTGATATTTAAAGGGGGCAATTCACGCTTGAAATTATTTTCATTTGAAATAATTGCTGTTCTCGGCCAAATAGAAGCCAATTTTCACTATTTCACATCTTATCTGCACTCTGCTGTAGTTTTGAGAAATGAAACACATCAGATGATGAAGTAAAAAATATTCCGCTCTTGTTTTCAATTTCTGATTGGTCCATTCTTTCTGAAAACAAATGACTGGCGTCAAACTCTGTGCAGAAGGCGTGTGACAAAACGTTCTAGGATGATAAATGTTTGCAGCCTTGAATGCGACTTAACTAAACATTATCCATTGTCCTTATTACTTTTCAGGGTTGATCGGAGCCAGATGGTTTTATAGAACCCCAAAATAAACAATTATTTTCTGCTTAAAACGTTTTTGCTTAAAAATTTTCTTAAACAAGAAATTCAATGAAATTGTGGTTTTGGATCTTTGGCTGGTTCCTCTGCATCCTCACGATGGTTGTAAATAGATACATCGTCAAGGTGAAATCTTTGAGATACTTGACTTTTATAAAGCGCCGCCCATTCATTCAAATGGTTTTTACACCTTGGGGAATTCCTTTTCTTTTCATTCTTACTTTTTCTTTATTGTCAGTTAGACTCAAATCATTCGAACATGCGATGACCATCGTCGGCTATTTGTGTTTGCTTTTCGAGATAATAATAATAATAATAATAATAATAATTGATGTTTAAACAGGGTGACCCCTTCAGTCGCAAGACTGGTATCAACGGGAGCCCTGTATAACATAAAATAAAAGAGAGTAAAATAAATTATATATATGCACATATCAATAAAAACCAACTGATATAAAAATTAACAATGTTCGATTTCAGAATGTTCTAAAAATAGCCTAAGAATAAAAAGCGGAGATAGTCGGGAATCGTTCCTTAGGTGGTAAAGTCTTAATGTTCATCGGAAGACTATTGAATGTCATTGCACCATGATAGTAAAAAGACTTTTTAGCGACATCTAGATGAAATTTAGGAAGAATAATGTCAGTGATTGACGATCTAGTACATCTATGTTGGTTGTCGCTCTGGCTGCATAACATGAAATAGTCTTTAAAGTATGACGGAACTTCTCCAACCAAGCACTTGTTAATTAACAATGCACAGTGCTTTTCTATAGTTCTTATAAGAGGCGGCCAGCGTAGGTTCTCAAGTATTGATTCCGTTGTTATGTCAGGTTTAAAACCGTATACGATTCTCGCAGCTCGTCGTTGCAGGCGTTCAAGAGTCTTTCTGTTAGTGCTTCTCAAAGGGCAGAAGCACGTATCACAATAGCTTAATATCGGTAGCACCGTGGACAAATAGATCTTATTTGCTTCTTCCGTGGTTAAACAACCTCGTAATCGGGACAGAAGGCCAAGTCCGCTGGCAACTTTTGACATTACATAATTTATGTGATCGTTAAAAGATAAACACTCATCTAGTAAGACTCCAAGATACTTGAAAAATTTTACTTGGCTAACTTCCTTCCCTTCCATGTAGAGCGGACTATGAGATTCAGATCTCATTAACCTCTGCCGAGTTCCAAATACAACCTACTCAGTTTTCTTTAGGTTAAGGAAGAGACCATTCGCTGTTAGCCAGTTTGAGACAACATTGAGATCAAGACTTAAGTTCAGCTGTAGTTGGTCAATGCTTGAGGCAGCAGAAAAGATAACAGTGTCGTCGGCATACAACATAACACTAGACAGACCAACGGCTAAAGGAAGGTCGTTTATGTAAATAATAAACAGTAGAGGCCTTAACACGGAACCTTGAGGTACTCCGCTACTGATGTTAGCGGCAGACGAAAGGTGATTTTCAATGGACACGCTCTGAGTCCTGTTAGTGAGATAGCTCTCAAACCACGAGACAGGCTGGTCTTGAATTCCATATCTAAACAACTTGTTTAAAAGACCATCATGAGGAACAGTATCGAAGGCCTTTTTCGGGTCGATAAACACTGCCCCCGTCAATAGCCCTTTGTCCATATGTCCACGAATTTTATCTGTGAGGAAGGTAATGGCCAACTAAGTTGAATGATTTGAATGGATTTGCACGATGGAAGAACCTCCAGAATTTTCTACAGATCGGATTGATATAGGTCTGTAATTGTCCAGATCATCTTTGTTTCCAGATTTGAACAAGGGTACAACCTTTGCTTGCTTCTATTCGGACGGGACGGTACCAAATTTAATGAAGAGTGATACACAGTCAGCTATCACAACTGCGCTGTCCTTTAAAAGTCGAGCTGGTAGACCGTCTGGACCACTGGCTTTCTTGAGTTTTGGGCATTTAAGTTTCTTAAGCACAAACGGCTTACCCATTGCTGTGAGCCCAAAGTGTTTCTTTGTAAAACAACTCCTCAGTTGTAGATTTAAAAACTGGTCTTGCATACCTGCATGATTCAAATAACTTGTTCACAACAAATGTAAAGAAAGAGTTGAACAATTCTGAAATGCTTTGTATATCAGTAATAATCTTGTCATCAGCTTTGATACATGTCGGGATAGATTTCAGTTTCGCGTCCGGCAATATTTTCTTTACAGATCTCCAGAAAGATTCAGAATCGCTGCTATTCTCTTCGATTAATTATGTTTTATAGCTTTCTTTAGCACGTTTAAGCGTTGCACTGACTTTATTCCGGAGTAGTCGATAAGCAGCCAAATCGATGTGTAATTTTGATCTACGGAATTTCACGAGACTGGCATCCCG